GCCAGCCCAGCCAGGGTTACTGATTTACACTGCTGTGCCCTGCCACTGGTGGCATTTCTCTGCAGCAGCTCCTGCACCCACGAGTGTGGAGCATTCCAGCATAAAGAGCTCTGCTTCTGGAGAGCTCAGTGAAGAAACCCAGTTCCAGCTCTCAGGTCATCCTCACTTCAGAGGCACAAGGTGGGGAGGAAGCTCATGTTGCAGCCATGGCCCTTCTCCAGGATATGTGAAAGGGACAGGTTGCTTTTATGCTGGAGGGAGGGTTTATTTCTCCATGAGAAAAAGAAGCTTATTTCATGTCCTGTTGAAACACGAGGTCCAGAAAGGCACCAGATGGCCTCCCATCCTCCTCCAGAGACCACTATCTACAGCATGCTACAACAAAAGCTGCACACTCCATAAAGCATGTTTTGGAAAAGTTTAGTGGTCATTGGCAAATAATGATTGAGTGTAAGCACGCTCCTGGTCCAAAGGAGCCATCCGAGTCCAGAGCTCCCATCCTGGCTGTAACCTAGGCTGGGCAGGAAACTATTCTACAGCCTGTAAAAACACCCAAACAAAACAGGAGAAAAAAACCCAAAAAGCCATTTTTAAGAGGATGGTCTTGGCATGTCACCAAAACCAAGACAGGATGGAATTGCCCACAACTGGCTTTGCACAGACATTGGAAGCATTTCTCCCTGGGAATCCCTTTCCTTTCCTCATAGCTTTCCAAGCTCAGGCTTGACAAACCAGAACAGACAGCTCTGAAAATACACGTCCTCCTTTGCAGCTGTGGGTCAGGGATGGAAACCAGAGCCAGGATCATGCTCCACAAACAGCTGAGGGGGCAGGGCTCATTGTGGGTTTAAAACACAAAACAAAGCAGATCAGCCTCTGCTCTGTCCATCCATGCACTGTTAGGCACATCTCTTCTCTTCCCTTGGCAGGTTCAGGAGTAAAGTCTTTCACTTTAAAACCTCGAGCTCATTCCTGCAGCCCTGCACAGGGAACTGGATAGCAGCATATGCACATCTCAGCCTCTTGAGTCTTAAATTTAATCTTTAATTTTTGAAATAAGTTACTATTTTATCTTCTCCTTTGATGAGCATTAGTCCCCTCTTAACCCATTCAAACACAATTTAGCTAATTAGTCAGAGGTTACCATATGTAAGCACACACCACCTGGTAAAGCAAAGGACTGCAGGAAGACCTGCTGTGTTCTGTGTGCCCTCGTGGCTGCTGCTCTCCTTCCCAGCCCTCGCTGCTGTGCAGCTGAGTCCCCTGGCCTTATTTCTACCTGTGCAGGGCCCACCTCTCCTCAAGGTGGGGAAAGCTCCTGAGCAAAGCCCTCTTGTCACACACCAGGGAAGCAAAATCTCAGGGAAGTCCCCAGGCTCCAGCACAAACCACACTGCAGAGTACCCGTAACTCACACAGCTTAAACACAGCCTGAGATCTGAGAATCCCCTGTTCTTCTGAGAGATTTCATTTCCTCCAGCTCAGTCCCTGCTGCCCTTCTTCATCTTCCCACCCTCTGCAAGCTGCAATAGCTGCACAGGGGAAACCGAGGGCTTTGCTCAGGCTGGAGCTGTGGCTGCAGCCCTTGGTGGTTGTCCCTGCAGGAGGGCAATGCTGGCCATGGGTTCTGTCCAGCCCAAAGGATGAGATGAGGGCAATGCTGGCCATGGGTTCTGTCCAGCCCAAAGGATGAGATGAGGGCAATGCTGGCCATGGGTTCTGTCCAGCCCAAAGGATGAGATGAGGGCAATGCTGGCCATGGGTTCTGTCCAGCCCAAAGGATGAGATGAGGGCAATGCTGGCCATGGGTTCTGTCCAGCCCAAAGGATGAGATGAGGGCAATGCTGGCCATGGGTTCTGTCCAGCCCAAAGGATGAGATGAGGGCAATGCTGGCCATGGGTTCTGTCCAGCCCAAAGGATGAGGTGAGGGCTGAAGGAGGCCGTGGCTGCACCTCCAGCTCCCTGGAAACCACAGCACTCACTGTCCTTTCCCCCAGTGCTGCTGCGAGCCCCTGGGACAGAAGAACATTTGAGAGCCAAGAGGAATTCGCACTGCAATTCTCCTTCTCCCAAAAAACTATGTTGAGGGTCAGAGTCACAAAAGCTGAAGATATCCTGGTGATATTTGATTGGTTTATCTTTCTTTCTTCAAATTTTGTCCGGTACAAGTTTTCAACGACCATTTCCTTCTTTTTTTGCCATTTGTCACTGTCAAAGGAAGAAGGGAGGGAAGGCTGAAGTGGCGGGGGGACAGGAATAACAGGATGGAGAAGGATAACACAAGATCTTTTGGCTTGATTTCTTTTTTAACAAACTTTTTTCCTGTCTTTTCCTTCTGGAGAGAGGTGAAAAATGGCCTTTTTATGAAAGCAAAAAAAACCCCAAAACAACAAACCAAAAAACCAAAGCAGAACAAACAAACTGGAAACCCAGAAGTGGTAGTTAGGTGTTTACAGGTGTCCTTTCTTCTGTACAGTGTTTTAATTCCAGCTGGGAGGAGCAGCACAGTATGAAAACCTCGTATCTTCTCTTGGACTTCAGCCTCAAATGCATCATGTCTCGGCATGTTAGTAACAATTACAGGGAAAAAACCCCGAATCTCTCCCTCCTGTGCACACCAACCCTTCAGCAGTGTATTCCTGGTGGTGTGCAGGACAGGAGCTCTTTCCCATCAGACTCAGAGGTCTCCAGAGGTGCCCAGTTCCAGAGTTGGTGGAGACCTGTCAGATCTGTCACGTGCATGCAGAGTGCCTGAGACATTTGTAGAAATTTAACAAAGCACTGCTCAGTCTCTGATTGTGCTGGGGTCACATAGCAAAAGTCAGCCACTGCTGGCATTCCCCCCTCTTCCCCCAGCTGGCTGGTTTCGTTTTTAAAGGAAAGGGAATTAAATGACACTGGGTCACTGAGCTCTGACTTAAAACTCCTGAAACTTTGTCAATTCCATCCAAAGAGACTGGATTAATTTCCTGGTCCCGATAACTGTATGATTGTTTTCAATGGGCACAGCAATACCTCCTCTAGCTTTATTAAAATAAGTTGCTTCCTGGCAGAGGTGGGATGCCATTGTCAGAATATACATGAGCAAGAGGAACAGCACCACATTTGTGTTCCAAACTGAAAAGTTACCTCTTTCTGTCTAGGATTTTTTCAGTGTTACTCAGCTGCCTCAGAAAAAGAAGTGAGCACATCTCCGTTACTTGTCTGGCAGCACGACACTAGCTCACATCTTAAAGGCGTGGCAGCAGGAGCAAAGGGGCTAAACGTCCTACCAAGGACTGTGCAAGAATCAAGACTGGGGAGATTCTTCCCCCACCAAATGATGAGCAACACTGGTGGGAGGGAGAGGAGAAATCACCAAACTGCTTACCACGAGCCCTGACTGCGAGCCTCTGGGTGCTCAGCTCTTCCCACAGCTATTTGCAGTATGACATTCAGCTCTTTACAAAATACAAACACAATAAATGGTGTCCTATGTGGTGCTGCAGTTCTTTGCAGGGAATGTGAACCAGGTCTGCCAGCTTTCTCCACCTTCCACAGGAAAACATCTCAAACCATAATTTCCCAGGGAGGTACAAATCCTGGTACTTGACTTTCAGCGCTCATTTCAGCGGCAGTTTGTAGTTTGTAGTTTTTAAGGGGAAGGAAATGAAGCGGGGGAGGCTCGCCCTGTGCTAGCTGTGCAGTTGGAGGAAGCTGCAGCAGATAAGGTTCCCATAGCGATGGCAGCAGGTGCCGAGCTCAGACCGGGCCCCAGTTCCGCGCTCGCTGTGGGCGCCCGTCCTTTATCTCCGCACAGCACAGGGAAAAGCAATTACTTGGAACAAGGACCAAGGGAAAGGAGCCTGTGGCATCTGTGATTCATTTGGATGGCCATTCTCTGGCGTGGCTGGATGTGCCAGAACTGCAGCAGCGCGTGGACCCTCGGTCGCAGCCAGGCTCCTGCCGCTGGCTCTCCTGCTGGGTTTAGCTGTGGATTTTGGACAGGCATTGAAGCAGGGTTTGGCAGAGAGCTTTACAGCCCCAGCCTCCGCAGGACACACTCATCTGGCCCTGCACCAAACCCAGCATCAGAGCACATTTCCTCCCACCCATTGCCTCACATTTTTGACTACCCTGGCAACAACCAAACTTTAATTCGACACGATCTGCTTCCAATGAAGCCATACTACCTATTAACTTTGCTTTATCTTGCCTGAGCTGATGATTATTGCCCTCGATTATGTTTTCCTTATCCCCTGAGCAGTCATCTGCACAAAGCCAAGGCAGTGCAATCGCTCTCCCACCCTCTTCCCAAAGCCACTCTGCAGCACAGGATCAGGCCCATCAACTCCTTCAATAATCCCTCTACAGAACGCCCCAGCAGTGCAGTTAAATTTGTGGGCATGCAATCCTCAGGGTCTCATTTTCCCAGCTGTGCTGCAGCTCTTTTTCCTTTTCTTACCAACTGCTCCGGGACTTTTCTTGCACCCCGCGAATTTTCTGACAGAATTGTCAAATATTCATCGGTTTCACTCTTGGATAGGTTTTCACTGGGCTGTGCAGTTTGACCAAGAGCAAGTCCCCAAGAGCAAGGGGTGGTCATTCCTCACCCCTTTTCCAGGCTGAGCGTGCCCTGAGATCCATCAGCAGCAGCTCCCATTGCATCGAGCACCCAGTGACAGCTGAAGCTGTGGCTGCTGGCACTGCAGCCTCCGTTTGTCACTGCCTGTGATATGTTCCTGGCTCTCTCCCCTGTACAGAGGTGGCCTAGAAATGCACTTTCCTGTCTCACCCTCCAGCTTCTCATGTACTGCTGAACCAGCTTACTTATTTCCTGAGCTGACGCCCCATCGTTTCATGGTTTTGCATCCCTGACTCGGTTCCTTCACACCTTTAATCTCTGCTCTCTCTCACCACCCTCACCACCGTGGTTTCTTTTCCTCCTCCCGACAGGAATGCACTTTCCCCCCCTTTTTTCTTTTTTTTTTCATTTTTTTTTTCCTTTTTTTTGCTACAATGTTGTTTTTCTCTTCCCGGGCGGTGTCAGTAATGAAGGGCACTTCTGACAAAGGCGTGCTGGAGGAGGAGCTGTCCCCAGGGTGTAAGAGAAACAGAGAAACTCTGCTGCCAGGGGGTGCAAACAGCTGGCTGCAAGGAGAGGAATTGTGCCAGCTGTGAGCGAGAGAAGGGAAAAGAAACCGCTTTGGGAAGCAGAGAGCCAACCAGTCTGGGTTACGGAGGAAACATCCCAGGTGCCTTAGAAGTGTGTTTCTCTCTCTGTGATGCTGAGCACCTCCTGGACTGGCGGGGACCATCCCTCGGGTCTCACACCAGCCGGCCCCATGCGCTTCCTCCCGGGCTGCGGCAGGTCCTGCGCCGGGGACAGCAGCTGCATCAGCCGCTGCGGACAGGAAGAACAGCTAATTAGAGGAACTGTTAATTAGGCTGACGAGCAAACTGACGGCCAACAGTGACCCACAGCCATTGCTGGGGGCAAAGGCATCTGGAGAGCCACCCCAGCCTCCTCTGCCCCTCTGCCGAAGGGTGAGGAGAGCAGGCTCGCTGCTGCTGCTCTCGGTGACCATTATTGCTCCTCTGAGCTCACATCTGGCTGTGAGCGATTCTCTGTTCTGCAGCACTCTCACCGAGCTGCTGCTGCTGCTCGGATGCCAGCAATTTACACCACAGACACTTTCTGTGGCAATGGGAAAAACATCATCAAACCCTTTCCTTTCCTCTGCCGAGTGGCTCTCCATTGATTTTGGTGGGAGCTGTGAAGACTTTTAAACGTTCAGTGTAGCTCCTCCCTGGGGCCCATCCTGAACCATCTGGCCCAGTGCCCACAATCCCAGTACCTGTTTCAGGGGTCCTTTGGTTTTCAGGAGGATGAAGATGGCATAGAGAGGAATGCAGACCATGGAGGAGAGTGCCATCAGCCAGCCCAGCATGTAGCCCCAGGGTGGGTACTCGTAGGAATTGTTGTATTTCAAGGGTGTGTACTTGATCAGGGAAAAGAGGAAAACGCCCTGGGGAGCAGAAAACACAAACAGAATGAGAGCAGAGGGGCAGGCAAGCAGGGACTGCCAGGGGTGGCAGCAGGGACCTGGCTGTCCCCAGGGTGTGAAAGACCAGAGCCTGGTGTGTGCAGCCTGCACAGGGAGCTCTCAGAGCCAGGACATCTGTGCAGTGCAAAGCCTCCAGGCTTCTGAAGAGCTCAACATAAGCAAAGCTGGCAGCAGCTTCGAGGGTCCAGCAACACTGAAACAGCAATTTATTCAAATCAAAGACAAGAATTGTTGTTCTGCCTGGCAGAAACACTCCAGAAGAACTGCACAGGCACAGCTTTAGCCCTCCTGGGGCTCTCTAGCCACAAAGCTCTCAGACAATTTGGACTGGTTTGAAAATTTCCCAGATCTTCAAGTCCTGCTGAAGCCTGGGGACAAAGGACTGGGAATCTTTTGTAAGTTGTAGCTATAGATCTCATCTGCGTTCCACTGGGGTCAAAGAAAACAACTCTCAGCATCAGACACAAGAACAGAATTTGGCTGAGAAAACATGTAAAAATCAGTGGAGCAAGACTGGACATAAATTCAAAACAGGCAAGAACTTGCCAGAATTTGGGGGCATTTTATTTAAACACAGCCACAGAAGTTTTGGAAGAGACTTAATAACACAGAAAACAAATGGCTACAGAAAGGTATTTCTGAACCACGGGCAGTCCCAGGAGCAGAGACTCGAAGCAAGTATTTCAGAACAGGGTAATTTGCACTGTTCTTCCACTCATAGGTGATTTGACCAAACCTTTCCAGGCTTTGGGGACATATTTCCTTTTGCCTTCCAATAAGCAATCGGATTTTCAATTAATAAAATAAGGTTCAGTTAATTTTCCAGGCAAAACATAAGGCTTTTAAAAGGAAATAAATAGCTACCTCAGCTATGGACAAGCTTCTACTTCTCCACAGCAGTTTGAAAACTTTACAGCAGCACCTTGGAGATAAATCAGCCTTTTCTACTGAGAATTTGGAGACCCAGAGTGACATGTCACGACGTCATAATTGCACTTACCAAGCACAGCCCTGGGGTGAACACCAGCCAGCAAATCTTGATCAAGGGCCACGGCCGGAAACCAATCATGTCCTCAATGTTGTCGTAGAAGCGGTCGGCACCTTGGCCACCAACCAGCACAAAGTCACAGGTCAGATTGGTTTTGTTTCCTTCAACCCCTATTCACATCAGATCCCAAACTATCTCTATCCTTGGTGTTTGCTCCTGCTGAAAACGTGGCTATCCTGACAACAGAGCAGCAGGTGATGGGGCTTTCTGGCACTGAAAATCAGTGGCTAGATAGAGATGGAGGGGTTGGAGTTCATCCATAAGTGTCAGAAAGATTGACACTGAAGAGAAGCACAGTCCCTCAGCAGCTGAGAGTGAGAGGATGCAGCCATGCCCAGGGAAGAGAGAGGTGCCTGCTTGACAGAGCAGCCAGGGAAAGCTCTTGCAGGTGAAGCATAAGGGATTGTGTGAGTGGGGAACACCTAACAAAAGCTTCTCTTTGTAAATAAACATTGGTATGCCAGGGAAGTCATGTCAAGAATCACCTCTGAGTTGGGCAGGACCCCTGACATCTCAAGAGCCTGTCTTCCACAGAATATTTTATCATAAACTCAGAAAACCTGGCAATTGAAACTCTTCTGAAAACCAAAGCTTCCATCTGCAGGTGCTGCTGTACCGTCCAGTGAGAGTGTCTGGTGGGCTCTGATCTCCTCCTTCCCTTCTCATTAGTTTCACTTACTGGGTTGTTTTGTTCACAGTGTGTGGGACCCCCCTAAACCTCGTGGTGCCCTGGAATGGGATTTACTTCAGGAAGGCACCTAAAAGTCCTGCCACCAGCCAGACTCCAACCATTGACTCTTCCCAACACAAAGCACGAAGAGCAAACTCATGCAATGGCAGGGAGGAGACAACAAAATGCAGATGGATTTCAGCAGACCTTGCAATAAACTCTGGGGTGTCTTCAAGTATCAGGAGCCTAATGTTGGCCAGAAGGAGATGTAAAATGAAGAAAAATCAAAAAGTCATTATAAGGTGCCCTAGCACCTTTCCAACCAAAACTATCCAGAGATACCAGACTGCCTCAGGCAAAATAAGACAATATTAGACAAAAAAATTGAGCTAGTCCGTCCAGAAAAAGAGCTACCACTTAAGCACCTCTGGGATGAAATAATACCATATTTGTCTTGTTAAAGCTTTATCTTGGTGCTTAGCTGTTAAAGAAGGATTCTGCTTTTGGGGATGTTCATCCACCTGTGAACTCATGGTCAGGCCACAGTTCCATTTCCTGACGTGATAAGACTTTGCTTCTTTATATGCTGGACTAGGCAAAATGTGTGCCTGAAGAACTGGCCACACTTGTGAGTGCTTGGGGTTTGGTGAATTGTATTTTGGTTTGTGGGTTTTATGTCTCAGAATTAAAATCTCTCATATTATGTTTCCCTTAAATATAGTAATTCTACAAAAGCACATTCTGTATGCTCTTTTTTTTCTGTAATTCTTCGCATTATTTTCTATACCCCATGACTAATGCTTGCAGAAAATCTCTTTTAAACCCAGCTTTTTGAAGTATTTGTGGGGAGGGGGTAAGGGGGAGGATGGTTCTTTGAACACCTCTTGGTGCAGGGTTGGCAAGTTAACAAGTGGCCTCAAGCAAAGACAACAAGCTGTGGTGTATCAAGGGACGTGCAGCCTTGTGGGGGAGCCCAGCCTACACCACAGAACTTCCAAGCTGTAAATACCATGAGGCTCCAGATAGTGCTTCTGAAAATATATTGGGGATGAAAGGAGATGGTATATAAAATTAATTTTGCCAGAAAGCCAAACTCTTCCACAGGGTGAAAAAAAGAAAAGAGAGATACAGATCATGTGGATTGGAGTTTAGAATATGAGCACAGCACAGTGCCTTCCACAGAAACCCACTGTCATGGCAGATATATGACAGATAAACTAATTCATGATACGACTTCATGGCAGATGCAGTTTCCCTGCCAATTTGACTAGGTGTAGGATCTAGTCAGAGACATAACAATTAAAGAAATACAAAAATGCCAGACAAAAAGAAGAACACACATGCATCCATCCTCCAACAAGAAAAATCCCCCACCACTTATTTTGTTAATTATGATGTCCTTGTCCAGGGCAACTGCCAGGTCCTGAATTTCCATGGCCACTGTGGCAGGAGTGGGTGATGTGATGATACTGGGATGTGATGGGGACTGACATGATCATCCTCAGAGGGTATATCAACAGGAGCTTTTATATATTCTACATCTCACAGGCAGATGAAAAAGTAATCAAGCTTAAGAAGTCATCAGTTCAACCACTCAACACTGTTTTTTTGAGCAAATTAAAAGCTGGAGGACACTCTGGAGCAATGTGCCCTTCCTTCCCAGCACATCAGAAGGATTAGATAAAGCTCCTGCAGAGAAAACTGTAAAAAACTTCCCCAAAGATATTTTTGTTGGAATGAACAAAGATGTTTGCTTTTATCTCCAATATTCCAGGACAAGGAAGAATGGGATGCAGTCACTGGACAGTTAACCATGAATGCTGGCACCACTTCCCTCGTGCTGATCAACCCCATATGCCTTCAACGTGGCTGTGTGCTCCTCTGGCAAATCATTTAGCCATGTAAACTCACAGGAATAAACTTCACATGAACCTAACTGCAGGTTTGCTCACATCCTTATCTCTTGTTCTTACACAGCCCTTCTCATTTTGCACAGCTTATAAAAACAGCAAATGAGACCCAAATTAAAAGGGTGTGACAAATTAAAAGGATTTGACTTTTACCATGTTCAAAAAACAGTGAGTTTGACAGTTCCTTGCTTTCTCCTGGAGCAGCTGATCATGATGTGGATGCTGTGCCTGCCTGGGAAATGCCCTCTGCAGCACATTTGGGTGGCACCATGGAGGGAATGCCAGTGCCCACAGCCCTGCTTACAGAAGGGCTGCCTGTCCCACAGTGAGGGGGGAGCGGAGAAGAGGCAGGGGACACCAGAGCCCCCCAGCACCTCCTCCAGGGAACACGACCAGCGATGCTGTGCCATCCTTCCACAGGCAGGGAGCAGCAGGAGGAAAGCCTCGGCTCCTTGGGAGAGCAGTGCCTGGCAGCAGGGGGAAGCTGCCAAGTGGTGGGTGGCTGGCGAATGTGCTGGGAGAGGGGAAACTCAGAACACTTATTTGTGTTGGGAGAGCTGGTGTAATTCTTCACAGTGTAAGCAAGAGGCTCAGCCCTGCCAATTCCAAGGCTGGGGAAAAAAACCCTTTAATCAGCACTAGTCACTTTTTCCCCCCACTGTAATGCCTCACCTCGGCCCTCTGGTTATGTTTTGGACCAGAATCATCCCAATGGATGCAAAGCAGGACATCAGGAGGGTAAAATCACACTGTGTGGAGTGGCACAAATGAACCCATGGTGGTGAGAAAAAAGGCCTTTTCTCTATCCCCAGCTACTCCATCTCCCTTGGAGGCTGCTGGGGCAGCATCACCTCTCCTGTTACTCATTGCCTGTGATTGCCTGTGTGACTGTAAAAATGGCATTAAACATGAAAACATAATTCAGTTTAGCGAATTAACTTCAAATGGTGATCCCCATCCAGTCACAGACGGATGGGGATCTCCACATCCCTTTAAACCCCAAAAGAACTGGGCAGAAGGTGACTCAAAATTAAAATCTGGCCAGGGTCAGTTACTGCAAGCTGTCAGGTGAGCTTCCCTTGAAGGACATCTTTCTAAAATAAATCTCTCTTAAGGATCTGCTTCTCTTGCATTCCCTGGAGCCCAAGACCAAGCAGCTGGACTGGTTATCCTTTCAGCAAGAGAGGAGTTTATCCAAACTAGCAGTTGGCTCCTGCTATACACAAAGTGTTTGGAGAAACTGGTAAGGCTTTCATCAGCAACTGCACTGCAGCCAGTGCAACCCCTATAAAAGTGTAAACACCAAAAGGAGCACACAGGGAATGACTGCCCCAACAAGGCAAAGGTGGCACCAGATGGAGCTGGCAGGTGGCAGATTCAGAACAAGGAAAAGAGATTGACTCCTCACCCTGAGAAAACCATGGAACTCCTTGCTGCAGCGTTTTGTGGATGACAAATGCTTTGCCAAGTCAACTGGAAAAATATAACAGAAGAGAAATAAATAGATTTCACTTCTGGGACTGGAAATTCCTGGGCAACAAGCTGAGTATTTCATCTGGTTCTGGACCCCCAGAACAAGGAAGACATGGAGCTGCAGGCCCAGAGAAGGAGCATGAAAACCGAGAGAGGACTGGAGCACGGGTCCTTTGAGGACAGAATGAGAGAGTTTGGGCTGTCCAGCCTGGTGAAAAAAAAGCTCCAGGGAGACTTTGTTGCAGCCTTTGAATATATAAAGGGGGCTTGTAGTGACATGACAAAGGCTGGCAGTTGTCAATTGAAAGAGAGGTTTTGAGTGGATACAAGGAAGGAATTTTTGACTCTGGAGACCGTGAGACAATGGAAGTGGTTGCCCAGAGAGGCTGTGAATACACTACCACTGCAAATGTTCAGGGCCAGGTTAGACAGGGCTTTGAGCAACCTGGTCAAGTGGAAAGTAGCCAAGAAGGTGGACTAGATGATCTTTAAAGGTTTCTTCCAAACAGTTCTATGGTTCTGTTATAATTTGTGAAAAGCTGGAAGAACATTGACAGAAAGTATCACTCCTGATTTTTCTCATATTGTATTCCTTTATGAGCATCCACTCCTGACACTGAGACCCAACATGGTGCTGTGTTTGCAATCTTTCCCTGAGGTTATGATGGCAGTGCTGCTTGCAGTAGCTGGGACCAGCAGATGTGTGAGTGTGGGATGGTGAGGTCTGGTCTAAGCTGGCATCTGCTACAGCTGGGCACAATCCTTACACGTGAGAGGCTCCATGGAGTATCCATGAAGCAAAGAGAGGGAGCAGCTGCTCTGCATCACACACAAGATGCTTTGCCCAAAAACCATCAGCCTTAACATAACCTCCAGAGGGAAGAACCAAAGCCTTTGTGGTCAGGAGGAGATCTCCCATAGGATCACAGAGGAGACTCTTCTAACTGCACAGAATAACATGCAGGTGGTTTCCTCCTGATAGCTCATGAAGCTCAGTTTTACCCTGCTCCTGGGTAGTTTAGTTACAGACTTCAGAGAGAGCCAAAGCAGTCCCTCCTATTTCTTTTCTGAGTGCCATCCTAGCCTGGGTAAACAGGAAGCAGGAATCATTGCAGAAGTAACACAAAGCAAGTTTGCATCCCAGAATTTCGTGTTAAATTAAGTGGCAGGACTAGGCTAAATGCACAGTGTAAGCAGACAGGGACAGACACCAAAGAACAGCAGTCACTCCTCTGTAGCTGATTTTCTGATTCAAAGGGCAGATGGAAGAACAGCAAGGTAGTTCAGTATGAGGCACCCACAGAGACGGAACAAACATTCCCAGTCTAAATGTGGAGCAATTAAGAAATGTTGCAAGAAAACACAGTGAAAACGAGACAAGAAAGAACATAATTACAGCACTTCATTGCCCCCTGAGGGTCTTTTCTATCCACTCTCATTTCTCAACTCCCCATTCCTGCCTTGATAAAGAATCATCCAGATTTTTGTCCTGCACTTACCATACACCCATCCTATACAGATGACTTCAAAAACAGCCACAAAGAGCAGGCATGTGCCACTGGCAGCATAGTAGTCAAAGAGCTGGAAGATGTACATGCCACCCTGTTGAAGAGGTAGAGAAGACAGAGCCATGACAAGACTTTTCCATGTCAGGGAAAAATGAGTAGGGCAAGCAGAACAATACAGCAGGAACACTGAACCAGGAGCAGGTGGGAGAAGAGCCTTCTCTTGGGGCTGCCCTCACTGTTCCAAAAACACAGTCAAGCCTGGTGGTAGGAGAGTTTTTCACGCCTGTTTTATGATGCTGCTGGGCTAGGCTGGCCCCTATGTGCATAAGAGCAGGAGGTGCTTTTTTTGGGGTTGTTTTAAAACAATTAGGAAGTTCCCAGAAGCATTTTTGAAACAGCGTGTAGCAGTGCAGAACTTTGCACCCACAGAATCGTGATCCTGAGCAAGGATATTCAGACACCTCGTTTTACCTTCATCCAACCTTGCATTCTGCACAAGTTCCAAGCTCTGCAAGGGCAGAGGCACCTGGCTTTCCTGCTGCTTCTGACTCCAAGCTGAGCCCTGCAGAGCTGCCATCAGCTGCCTGTGCAGGCCCGTGGATGGTTTGACTTCTCCAAGAGAAGGAGAATCTCCAGGCCAAGGAGATTCTTTCAAATAACGCTGAAGGGCTCTAGACACAATGCCACTCAATTTGATTACGATAGGTGCTGCCCTCAGCAGATCCTTAGCTGGGCTCCAGGATCCATGTGTGCCTCAGGGGTTTGACAGGAGTGAGCTGTCACTGCAGAGCTGCTGGAGGCAGCACAGGAGTGCCAAAACCCCCAGCCAAGCTTGTGGTACCCACAGGGCCCAGCCCCACGCAGGAAGAGACGCAGGGCAAACACCAGCACAGCTCTGCTCCTGCTGCTGCCGGCATCACAGGCTTCCCACCACTCCAGCAGGGTTTTGGCACAGCCATCACCCCCAGGCTCCTCTCCTGCTGCTCTGCTCTGTGTGGAAAGCAGCCAGCAAATGATCACTGCCCTTGGAGGAGCTTGTTTTCAAACAGCTGGGCTTGTTTTAGCTGCCAGGTCTGGTATTTGCACAAAGCTGAGTGTCAGGCAGCCTCTCTGGGCTGTGGGAGCAGGGGAGGGCTCGGGGATGCCCCAGTGCCCCACGGGGTCAGAGCAGCGCTGCCTGTGAGAGACAGCAGCTCACGCTCTGGGAATGAGACACAATTAACAGCACTGAGGACAGGCTGTCCCTGCCCAGAGCTGTGCAGCAGGGGGTTTGGTGCTGCACAGCCCAGCTCCTCCTGCCTCACCTCAGTGACCAGCAGTAAGCCCAGCAGGTAGCACATGACAGCAATGGCCAGGATCAGCAGCTCCCGGCGCCCCTTCTTCCGAAACACTCCTGGGAACATGTCAATAATAGCTGTCACCAGGCTTTCCACACAGACAAACTGCAGAAGAAAAACAAGCCAGAGAAATCAGCGTCTCTCCTTCCCCAAGCACGCACTTCCCCTCACGGTTCTTTCTGTCCTCCTGCCACCCAAATCCTTATTTTTTCATTTTTTCTTTTCATCTGTCTCACCCCCACCAAAAGCCAGCAGAAACAGAGGGAAAAGGCCTGATTATATATTATTATACCTCACAAGGGCTGAGGTATGAGAGAGCTGAGCCTGAGCAGAACACCCTCCTGCTGGACATGCAGGACACCCCCTGCTCCCCTCGTGCCAGCAGCAGAGCTGCACCCTGCAGGCTTTGCTGCTGCCATAACAGGGATTTGGGATGCAAGACAGGGCACACCAGTGAGGACACAGGGATTGCTCTGGTGGGATGCAGCTGGGAGAAAATGGCCCATTTCCCTGTCCCAGACCACCCTGCCCTGCACTGGGCCTCGCTCTGCAGGGTGCACAGTTTTGGGGGCATGTAGCTGGGACATCCTCACATACACACAGGGAGAGGATGCCAGCAGAGATGCCAGCCCACATAAGCTCTGGCCTGCCATTGGCCCCAGCTCTGGGCTCCCAGAGAGTGAAAATGCTGCATACAACGTACAGAAACCTGCTGAAGGTACAGCAAAGCACAGAGCCAGCTTATCCCTCCCAATGCCCGTGGGAATGCTCGGCTGGGGACAAGCTCCTGCATGTTGGATGAGGAGGGGGCTTTGTGTACCTGGCTGTCCAGTCCCAGGAAGATCAGCATGAGGAAGAAGAGGCAGGACCAGAGCTGAGACACGGGCATCATTGTTACTGCTGTTGGATATGCTATGAAAGCCAGGCCAGGACCTGCCAACAGAGCACAGGATGAGCGTGTGTGCCCCCACAGCAGCACCTGCAGCACAGAGCAGGCTCACACACCTCTTCAAAGCTCCTATTGCCACAGCTGCCCAGCCACGGCTGAAAGCTGTGTTGAGGGGTACTGGTCCTGCAGACCTCTCTGCAGACACCCATAGCAATGGAGGATGTAGAGAACACCTTGGGTGTCACCTCTGAAGAGTGCCCTCCCCTTCAGGCTCTTTGTTTTCCCTTGGCTCTGAGGCCTCCCAGAAAAACTCACCTGATTCAGCCACTTGTGAAATAGGAACGCCCTGCTCTCGAGCCATGAAGCCCAGCACAGAGAAAATGGCAAAGCCAGCAACAAAGCTGGTGGCACTGTTCAGGGAGCAGAGCAGGATGCAGTCCCTGCAGGAAGGAGACCAGACAGAAATGGGGGTTTCCTGCTGCAGAATGGATCCACTTTGGATCATGCCTGTGCTCAGCTTGCCTAGCAGGACAGCACTAGCACGAAACAGCAATGCTGTTCTTGAGCCCCTCAGAAGTGAAAAGCTCAGAGCAGAGTTACAGGGTTATACATGGCACAGCAGTGGGGGAATGGGGCACAACCACATAGCACATAGCAATAAAAAACATGTCAGGAGTCCAGAGAATAGGAAAAACAACAGAGAAAATGAAGAAAACAGAAAATTAGAAAAGAAAAAAGGTTGCAGAAAGAAACCTAGTCAAGAAAGAGGAGTATCTAAAAGCATGAAGACATACAGGTTCAGCAGGTCTAGTAAAACAAGGGCAATGGGATAATAAAAATCCTCACTGCCAAGGGCTGTGTCTACACTGTCTTTATTAGCTGTGCTCAGATGGGGGCTGGCATGAGCTATGCTACTTGTCCTGAAACTTCTGTGCACTTGGTCCTTGTGAAAATTGGGCACCACTCTGAGCTGGCTGGGCTGGAAACCCCTGGATCCTGCCTGGGCAGCTGCCAGAGCTGACCCACAGCATCAGCTGCTCTGGGCAGGCATTGTGGACACTTTTGGGACACCCAGGACTAAGCTGCCAGCACAAGGTTCCTAAGGAATGAGGGGAAGGTGTCAGCACACCACTTCACTGGTGACTGAAATATTTTGGGAGAGCCAGGAGAAAGTATTAAGTGCCCAACCAGCAGCCATGGCAGCTGCTGGAGAGCAGAAGGAGGGATGATTGATGTCTCCCAAGCACATTTTACCATCTGTGCTGGAGCAATATGTGAAAGAATAGCAAAGTCCCTGTTTCTCTGTGGAGGGTGTCAGAAATGGTCCTGATGAGCTCCAGGTCAGGCCACGGATAAAACAGATCTGTAATCCAAGGGCAAGGAGAAGGCCAGACAGACTTGATTCATCTCCTTGCTAGGATCACAAGGCCACTGGCAGTACATTAGTCTGATGGAAGTAAAGTACTGCAGACAAGGGCCCAGCATCACCTTTGTGCCACCTCCCCTGCCCAGCAAGTGATGGCAGAGCTGGCTGTGTCACCCTGCCCACGGACTGACAAAAGAGTCTGTGCTGTCTGCACAGTGGCTGGAGACACTCTCCATTCTCATTCCTCCTCCGGACTCTTCTTTCCACACTGACTCATGCAGGAGAGCACTATTAAAGCCATTTTCTGGACTCCTCTCTTCCCTCAGCCACTCTCGGTGCCTGTGCTGAGTGCTCTGCAGCTTCTGCACCCTGAGCAGCTCCTTGGTCACAGCAGCACCACCCAAGGTCCCCCAGGGACAGAGCCTGCCCCTGATGCAGCTCTGTGCAGTGTGAGAACATTTCCAGAAGGAAATGAGGAGCCCAGGCCCTTCCTACCTGTAACAGTTGTTGGTGTACTTGTTGTAGCTGCCCAGAGCTGTCAGGCACCCCTCGCAGATGGCATAAGAGAAGAGGATTTGAGTGCCTGCATCCATCCAGACCTGGAACAGAGAAGGTCAGTGGTCTCCAGACCTGGCAACAAAATAAACAAATGGCTGTGCCCTGTCAACAGGAACTCCTCCAGTCATGGAGAACAAACCCTGTGAGACAGAAAGGGGATCTACAGTGAATGGAGAATCTGGGATCTCTGTCTGGAGAACCTGAGCTATAGAGCTGGAAGCCCTTTAGGAAAAGGCTCTAGAGGAGACCATATTGTCACATCCCACTCAAGGTGACACCATTTCTCCATCCCACACCTTTGCATTCAGGGTAGAGATGGCATCCCTGATAGCTTGGCTCCGGCTGAAGCTCTCACTAGAGATGTCTGTGGTCCCTGCATGGCCCAGATGATTAATCTCCTTGCAGAGCCACTGCTGAGTCACCCCAAATGAGAGTGTGATCAACAATCCGTGTACTCCCTTCCCTGCTCCCAGATTTATCTTCCCACCTCTCTGAGGCCACAGTGAGGGCAGCAAGTTGCTGAGATGAGAGGCTGCAGGCCAGTGGGGTGTCACACACCCGGGCTCCCCTTTGCTCTGGCATTCCATGGGAAAAGCTGAGAGTGGTTTGTCACCACTGCTCCAGCCCTGTCCTCCGTGGAGAGCTGAACTGTGGGCTGAGCTGCAGCTCTGCTCTCAGTCCCAGGGAAAGCCCTGAGCTGGGAGTTTCAGGCAGGCAGGGAAACAGCCCACCTTTCTGATGGTCTCCAGGTTCTCCACTCATCTCTTTTTCCTCTAAGCAGCCCCCAGCTGCAAACATCCAGGCAGCTGGAATTTGGTGGCCTTCAAAGAACCCCAGCACAGGCAGTGCTGCCTCAGCTCACACTGGTTTGTCACCATGGCAGGAACCCTCAGGCATGGACACACCTGAACCAAAGCCCTGCCTTCTGCCTCCACTCAGCAGCAGGATCTCACTGAGGGTTTCCACGAGCTCCAACAACTGGTAGCAGGGATTGACCCTTTGGCCAGCCCCTGCCCTAGGCAGGTGGGACCAGCCCCCAGGGCAAGTGAAGGGAACCCAGCTGGCCACAGCCCATGTTATGTGCATGTTATGTTATGTTATGTTATGTTATGTTATGTTATGTTATGTTATGTTATGTTATGTTACAAAAATAAAAAGTTATGTTATCTTACAGAAAAAAATTAGAAGTGATAGATTATATAACCCCTCCCTTAATTACCTGCATTTAACAGCCAGAAAAGCTATCTGTTACATGCTAAATATTTTATATATCTTGTGGTTTTGCTGAGCCCTTGAGTGGAAATGACCTAGTATACCCAGATGCTGCAGACCACGAGCAAACAGGATGTGCTGTGTAGGGGGACTAGACCCCTCCCAGAAGTTTTAAGGGCCCTGTTTCCCTGACATCTTTCCACAGATGACAGGCAGATGCTCAGATCCAAAGGCCAGGGCACTGAGAACATTCTTGTGGCCAGCATTTGCCTGACACCCCCCTCACCTGTGGGTCTGCCAGCCTGGAGATGTCAGGCTTCAGGTAGAAGATGATTCCCTCAGCAGCCCCTGGCAGCATCACCCCTCGAACCAGCAGGATGAGGAGCATCACATAGGGGAAGGTGGCAGTGAAGTAAACGACCTGCAGGGGCAGGGAAACAGAGGAGAGAGCAGGGAGGGGGACAGGCATCACCTCTCCCCATCCCACCTGCAGCCCCCGCCCAGCAAACCTCCCTGAGCCTGCTGCTGACACAGAAGAGGGGTGGGAAAGAAAGTAATCAAGGTTACATCTCACTGGTGATTTAATTCATCTGCATTTTGCTCTTCATCCAAGACTCTGCCACTGGTTGCTCTGCTTTGTTTTCTCCTTCCAGTCAGTGTACTTTCCCTGCTCTCCAGCTGTTCCCTTCATCTTTCTAGAGCTGCAGAGCAAACCCAGATCTCTTCCTGTCACTGGGTTTTAATGAGGTGTTAAAATGGTCCTATGCACAGCAAGAGCTTTCCAAATTAAACACCAACTTTTGCTGTCCAATTTGAGACACCTCTGAGGGGTCTCATTTCCACAAGTGCTGCAGATGTGTCACTCTCATCCCTTCAATGCCTCTGAGCTCACAGGTAAAAACTGGGGGCAGCTCAAAGCCTTTAAAGAAAACGTAGACTGTTATTTTTGTAATTCCTATTTTTACTTCTTTTTGTGTCTGATATAAATAAATACTACAGTAGAATTAATCATCTCTAAACCATTTCTTTAATATAACATATTCTTTTTTTCTATTTGCAAAATATTTGTGAGCAAGTTGCAACTTCCTAATATTTTTTCATTACTAAAATTAATCCAAGTAATGTGGAGGGTTGTTTACTCCATGAATTCACAGTGATGGGCCTGAAATGACAATTTTTTGTGCTTAGTGATAATTGGCCAAATAAGTCACAGTACATGGTACTTCTGCTGTTCCCTGATTGAATGAGAATGGGCACAAGTATTAAAATCTACCTTCAGAAATCACTTCTAAGGAACATTTATGCGCAGCAGCTGAATGCATAAGGAAGAGAAACATTGGGCAAAATGAATAAAAGAAAAAGGCTTTTAAAAGGAAAAGAGTCTTTATGGAGTTATTTGAAATTATTGTCCCGAGGTCACTGTGCTTTCTTTAAATTTGGATTCCTTAAATCACGAAGCAGAAACAGAAGGATCTGGCAGGGTTATGTGATCAGAGCAGCCTCTCAGGCAAGCACACCCTCCTGTTTAATCTGGGGCTGTTGAACGAAGATATGCACCTACTCAGAATCCTTGGCTCTTTCCTAATGCTTGTCTTAGTATATTGCTAGCAAAGAAAAAGAAGGAAGCAGCTGAATTTTTTGACAGTGCCCCTGTAATACCCAAAATTACTGCCTGCAGAGAAGACAACTGGCCTGTTCGACCTGCAGCATATTTGGGGACAGAAAACCCCTCTTACTGTTGCACCACGTCCACAACACCTGGCTGGTAAATAGCCAATAGCCCTGTACCCTAAAAACTGTGATTTTTAAATCTTCTGTAGTCTCAGGAAGACCATTCCATTTTCTATATGTAGTCACTGCTTTCTCTCACTTTCTGGTCTGGTTTGGCCAAGCCAAGTCAGCTAAATCAGCCTGACTGAACCACTTTAGCTTCCTCCTTGTGCAGGTAAGTTCTGCACGCTGGGGAAGCACCAGGCAAAGGAGAAACTCAGTGGAGAAGGCTGAGAGGTAAAGAGACCCTCAGGGGGTTTAACTCTTCTTCCCTGCAGATCACACAGCCCCTGACACAACCTCTTGTGACGATGGCACTGCAGTATTCACATTAGGGGGCACCAGAAACTCAAGGTTTAAAGTGCAGATCATCCATCCCCTCTCCCCATAAAGGTGAGTCTGGCTCTCCTCCCTTCAGAAATGGGACAGCAAGTCAGCACCAGCAAGAACCAGCCATCAGCAAAAACTGGGGGAAATCTAGTCAGGGAAGAAGCTGTTAATGGGTGTTCAGTGCAGTTCTTAGTGAGCAGATGGGATTAACACTGAAACACAGGAGTCAGCTGTGAAAGGGAACACCTGTGAAGAGTAGAGACGGAGATTTGAAAGAAGAAATCTGTTGCTGAAATTGGTTCCCTCCCTTTGGGACACCCACAAGACTAATCATTAACCATCCACCATCATTAATGATCCACCCATCTCCAGGAAATGATCCAGGAAAGAAAGAGGTCCTGAGCAAGTCAAGGCCATGGAAGTGTCCCTGACACCCAGCCCAAGGCACCAAACACTCATGCACTCCAAAAGGAGAACCAGTCCATCTGCTCTGCAGGATGAACTTCAGGAGGAAGCATTGGCTCCAGTCTCATCAGCAAAATGCAGAAAGTGACCAACAGACCCCAAACCTGAAAGAGCACAGAGGAGAGGACTAGGACACTTCTCCCACCCCAAGTGTTCTGCAGGATAAAGAAGCAGGAGAGACTCATTATCTATGCTCTGAGCTGGTTACAGGCAGCAGCTTGTCTGTTTTGCTCAAGTGTTTAATCATTGCCAGGGATGGGAAGTCTGCCACTGCAGAGGATTTTGTTGAAAACACCCTCAAGCCACAGCAGGACAACACACTGGTGAGTGCATGATTCCCACTGGCACCTGGGGAGAATCCATCAGCCACTGTGGGTATCTGCAAGTTAAAATGTGACTCAAGACTCGGTTCCCAGTTCTTTTCCCATTCTCCCCTCCCTGGAGCTGCTCATTTATTCTTCCCCTTAGGGTTCAAACACAACTGTGTGTATCAGCATGGCCTCAACAGGTTCTGAGTTTCACTTTGGTGCCTCCTGCCTCTGCTCCATGAGGAAGAAAAAGAGACTGGGAAGAAATGGGTACAAGGAGGCTTATGGGCTGGGAGGATAATCCCCATTCCTACTTTGCCCGTGGACTTGACCCCTTTCCAGATGCAGAAGTAGCAGATGATCCAGGCCAGCAGGAGACACAGAGCCAGCTCCCAGCGCACAGTGCCCAGTTTGTCAATGCCATCCGTGAGCCCCAGGACTCTTCTCCTGCCGGTGTCCAGGGACAGGGAGAGAAGCATTAACACCCCAGACCCACTCACCCATACAGACCTGTCCCACAGTGCCCCATCCAAAGACTCAGCAGCCTGTCCTGGCACATCTGCCAGGGCTCCCAGCCATGCAAATCGTCCCAGCTCTGCTTAAAGCTCTCCTCTGCACTCATCTCTGCTCTGCCGTGTCCTGTAGCTGACCCCAGCCCTCCCACTCTCCAAACCCACGGTGCTGTGCCCATCAGACCCCACAAACCCAACCCCTGCTCCCCATTGCTCCCTGAGCCTGGCAGCTCCCCAGCAGAGACAGCTCAATCCAAAGCAGGTCACCAAAGCCACTGTCAGCCCATGGCCACCACGCTTCCTCCCCACATGCTACAAACATACATACATATGTAAGCATAAATTATGATTCCCATGCCTTCCCTCAGCCTCCTTCCTTGCAGACTCACCACCACGAGGGAAGGCCACTCAAGAGCTCAGCACTGCAGCTCATGCAGCTCCCAGAAGCCCAAGCCCACGCTTACAACTCCTCTGCACATTCTGCTCAAAAGCACTTCCCTCAGTGTGCCCTGCTGTCCCTGCAGAAAAGCCAGCCAGCTGTTCAGAGGGGTCTCAGCTCTCACCGAATGTGCTGCTCGTACGTGCGAGGAGCGGGGCAGGAGAGGGGGCCAGCGGTGTGCAGGCTCTTTATGGACCCATGGGCACAGCCCATCTTCTGTGGGCCCTGTGGTGGCTGCCACAGACAAAGTCAACCCTTTCAAAGCTACCTCAGGAGACAGAAATGGGGAAAAGCCCCAAGCCCAAGTGTTGAAGCTGAGTCCTTGACACCCCTGTTCTTTATAAGATTTTTCTCAGTAGCATGTGGGGTGGGAGGGTGGCACCAGAGGTCATTTCAACCTCCCCAGGCTGCACTGATGACCCTGTCTGGGACATTGTCTGGCCTGCTGCAAGACCCCTCACTCAGACTGTGTTTTAGTGCCTCCAGCCCCAAATTCCTCAAAATTCTCCACCTTCCCCAGATTCTTCTCTGGCATCTGGTTCACACATCTCAGATCTCCGCTCTCCAGGGAAGCTCCTGAGCAGCCTGATGGATCCCTTCCCTCAGACAGCAAGCAGGACTGGCTCAAAGCAAGGTAAAAGGCAATTTTCCCCTCTGTGTTTCCCTGTGGAGGACTGCCCAGGACACCTCTGACGGGTGCCAGCCAAGCTGTAACACCCAGCACACGCAGCCCTGCTAGCAGCAAGCCCTCGCCTGCTCTCGCTGCCTCTCTCGGTGGCCACGCTCGCCCAGGCAGGAGCCAGGAGGGGAACACACCCTCGAGGCGCACATGAGCTCCCTGGGCAGCACAGCAGCAGCTGCCTGGGCTCTGTGCCCATCTCCTCAGAGCTCCCTGTGCTCCCCGTGCTCGGCTCTGGCACCTCACTGTCACAGCCCCAGCCCCAGCCCCTCCTGCAGCTGCAGCCTCCGGATCAGAGAGCCTGAGCAGAGGGAAAGCAATCACATACTCCCAAAACTCAATCATTGAGGAGGTGGCATTCACTGGCAAGGTCCTGTTGTCCAGGCTGGATCTATTCAGAATGTCCATACAGAGATCTACCAAAAGAAAAGGAAGCCAATGAGGTGAGAAATTCTCTAGGGCTCCTCCATGAGGGATGTTCCTTCCCCTCTGGACCCTAACCCTGTCTCTGGCAGCACACAGATCCTTCATCTTGTGCTTTACAGCATCTCATTCATCTTTTGCATCTCACTAAACATCTCATTAAACTCTGGCTCTCCCCAGGTATGAATCTCAATCCAGCAGTCGCCAGAGGGGCTTCAGGAAGGGAAGAGGGGAAGGAGAGAACAATTCCCTGCCAAACTGACAACAGATGGCTGCAAAACATGGATTATCAAGGGGCAGCAACGGTGAGTAGTCAGGATAGAAAATCCCATTCTCTTTCCACATCACACACCATCCTCTGTCCACACATGCACACACCACAGAAGCCTTCACGTTCTCCTTTGCCATCCCCAACCCTGCTACAAACCACGAAAAAACTAAAAACAGAGGAGATGCCACATATCCAGTGCACCTCATCTTGCATTTTGCCAGCAAAAGACAATCCACTGGAAAAGCAAGGAAAGCCAGCTGTTGCTGGGAAGCTTCTCTCTTTTAAGAGAATATATGTGGCTTTCCTTACAAACAAACCCATTCTGGGGGAGCTGAAGGAATTGGATCAGCTCTTTAAAAGGCTGGGTACTTCTGCTGGGATGAAAGGGCAGAGGGAGCTTCCAGTGAAAGGCCCACAGGGTAGAGAAATTTAACTAATTGCAGAAATTAATCATCTAATGCAAAAGAAAAAGGGAGGGAACCAAGCTGCTGCCAAGCAAAACAACCTGCTCAAGATGTAAAAAAGTCCTGATAAGGACATTCATGAGGATTACCTCACACCTACCCCATCTTCCCAGGCTCAGCACAAGTGCCTTGGGTGAGGCCAGAGCCAGGTTTCTCTGCAGGGCAGAGCTAAGTGAAGATGAGCACAAAGTGATGAGATCCCTGGTGAATGCAGTGCTGTGGAGGCTGCATGGATGTGATTAACCAGGAAAACCGTGCCCTAAGAGTTCTGTGCTGCTGGTTCCTCCACTGGGAGACCTGAACAAAATCCTGCAGCTCAGGCTTGGCCTGACTGATCCAAAATCTGAGTGCACAGAGGAGACTGCTCAGGCAGCTCCTGTCCCAGTAACTCCACAGGAATGGGGCAGAGAAAGGGAACTGTAAGATAAACTCTTGCACCAGAGCTAATAAAAATCTCCTGCCATGAGGAGAGCTCTAGATTGGCTTGAAAACCCCACCAGTGCTTGCCTGTTTTTTGGTGACATCACAGGGTGGCTCATGAGAGCTCCTTATCCAAACAAAATAAATACATTTTCAAGAGAACCCAAATAATTTCTGGGAATTGGAAAGAAGCTAGAAGCTGACCAAGGGAAGTTGTGTACCTGAGTTCCAGGAGTTATCACAGCTGGCCCATGGTAGCACTGAGGCGAAGGAGCTGAACAGGTAGAAGAGTGCCCAGGACAGGATGATGATGTAGTAGATGTTCAGGTATCCCACAATGACTTGGGAGGCATATCCAATTCCTGTGAAGAAAAGCAAAGGAGGTGGGGATGGGACTGGAAACCAGCTCCCAGCACATGAGGCTTAACCCCAAAGACACAGCTCAGGCTGTGGTAACAGGGGTGCAACACCAACAGCATGAGTCTCCAGAGAACAGTGCAGGATCTACCTAAGGGAAAGAGGAAGGATTTTGTGACTGTGCAGGCAGACAGGAAACATTGTTGGGTAACTCTAGACAGTTCTGTGGTGAAACAGCCAGAAAACTTGACACTGATTTGAAAAAAAGTTCTGATGGCTGCCATGGCACAGCATCATAGTGCCTCTTCTTCAGAAAAATACAGCTCTGGGCTTTGAAGAAAAGAAATGCAGCTGGGACTCTCACTTCTGGGAAGAGCCAGGCAAAACCCATTCTTACAGCTGATACCCACCATGCTCAGCTTTGGGTCCTGCTTGTGCCCATTGCTCACTGACACCTCAGACCAGAATGGCCCAATTCATGTATTTAAAACTGCTTTTCAGTGACCTTTGAGCTGCCCCTGCTGTCCAGCCCCAGGCCTGTGCCAGAGCACAGGGGTCTCCAGCACAGGAGGCCCCAGACTCCTCAGGGAGTTTCAAATAGCTCTGCGTGCCCATGCTCAGTCAAACAAACCAGGCTCCACTCTGCCTGAGCACAGCTTTCTCCATCTGAAAAACATGATTGATAAGCTCTCCTCTGGACAGGGGAATTGAGGAAATTACATTCATATATTAATATGAATAGAATATTAATATTCATATTTATATATTTATATATTTATATATTTATGTATACTTATATATTTATATATTTATAAATATATTTATATATAAATATATATAAATATATAAATATTTAATATATAAAATTTTATATTTATATATAAATATAATATATTTATATTTATATATTAAATATATAAATATATAAATATATAAATATATAAATATATAAATATATTTTCATACATTTAATATATATTTTATATATTTCATAAATTCAAATATATTTATAGAATTTATATATTTATATATTTTTATATTTATATAATTCATGTATTTTCATATATTTAATATATATTTCATACATTTCATAAATTCATATATATTTATATCTTTTTATATATTTATATATTTTTATATTTACATATTTTTTATATATATATATATATATATATATATATATAAATAAATAAATAAATAAATAAATAAATAAATAAATAAATAAATAAATATATTAATCCCATTAAACAAGCTTCCCCAGGGCCCCAGAAGTCGTGGTTCTTATCCCTGTGGCTTAACCCCAACCCCATCCCATCCCTGGTCTGTCAGAGCCAGTGCACACAGGGTCTGATTCCCCAGGCTGCAGGATGCCAGCCTGCAGCCGCTGCCACAGCAGCCCTGGACACAGGAGTGGGCAGGGAAAGCGAGATAAAGCAGACAGCTCTCCCCAGTCTCCCCTCACTGTTTGTCCTGGACTACACACAGGTGTTTGTACACCGGCACTTCCATCCTCCTCCTCCTCCTGCTGGCCCTCCTGCTTCTCCTCTGTGCCAGGCTCTGAGCTCCCCGAAGCAGAGCCCGTGGTTCAGCAGAGCCCCGGGCAGCAGCACCCACCCTCCCCCAGGGCCAGAGGGGGCAGGAGCTGCCCCTGCACACACAGCAGGCAGCAGGAGGAATAACAAGGCTGGGGGAGAGAGAATAAAGGAGGAAGAAAAAAAAGAATAATAATAATATTTCAAAAAAAGGATCTGAGTCACTAATTGTCAGAGAGTGCTGCCAGTAAATGCTGTAACTTGACTGACCTTCAAAGAGGGGGCAGATCTTCCTCCAGGCCGTCACCCCTCCCTGGCTCGTGTACTGCCCCAGCGCCGTCTCCAGGAGGAACAGGGGGATCCCACAGGTGAAGAGGAAGATGAGGTAGGGGATGAGGAAGGCTCCTGCAGAGAGAGGTTAAATGCTGCCTCAGAAACCTCTTCAAAAACCTTGTCCTTAAAACCCCTTGCCAGATACCACAGCTGGAACCAGCTACAGAAACATAAATATTTCTCTGAACTAACTGTGCAACCTCTGCTAAAGAAACAAGGTCTCCACCACCATCATTTCTCAGAAAAAACCCACAGGGGTGGTGTGTCCTGTGCCACTGCAGCACTTCTGCATCTGGCACGGGCCAAAACCCAGAGGTAAGGAGCAGCCAGGCAAGAAGCTAAAAAAAGATAGTGCTGAAGAAGTTCTTCATGCTCCTGACCTCATTCTGGCTTTCAGCAGGAATGGGGTGAACAAAATGAGTCCTTGTTTCACATAACCACATTTGTTCTGCCTTTCACGAGAGTCACAGCAGAACTCCCACTTGCCCAGAGGATACAAACCCCGAGGCTGGTGACATTTCTGCGTAAGTAATAAATTTACCAGGATATAAATTTACTTGAGACATATTTCACGTCAAATTTGCAAAGTAGATTGCACTAGAAGAATGGAAATAGGGGAAGAGTATCTTTCCAGCATTTTCAAAATAAAGAAGTTTAACTCCTACCTTCAAAATCAATTTCTTTGCAAAAATGCAGAGAAATGTCTGAAGAGAAATCAGCCTGGAATGGCCCTCAGATTAACCCTTGTCTAAATGGAAGAGGAAGGAGAGAAAGGGCAAGGCTTTTTCCCAGAAACAATGACCAACGTAAACATAAGAAAAGACAAAAATAACAACAAAAAAGTTTAATGCCCAGAAAAAATGGTTTAGTGCTCTGTTCAGCTGTCTGGATCTTTTTTACGCCTTTTCAGTTATGCTGCCAAACCAAAACACCAAATACATTCACTGCTCTGCTCAAAACTGCTCCTGAGATCTCATTTTCACAGCTGACATTCCTTCTGTCACCTCTCTCTCTCTCCCCACATCCTTAGTGTAGATTTTCACACTTCTGCTCCCCTCCAAACAGGATAAGGTGGCTTCCTTCCTCACCAAAACAACTGTGGCAGCCTTGCCACTCCGTAAAATAAACTTCTGGTCACGAACACTTCTCTTTCCAGTGCCTGGAGAGCGTCTCAGGTGCTTGCAAGGAGGATGAGGGTGCCTCTCTCAGCCACTGTCCCTCCCCTGCCAGCACAGGCATCACACTGAAACCCTTCAGTGACAATGAGCAACTAGCAACGCTTGCCCTTGCTTTTAAGCCAACAATGACAAAAACAAAGAATATTCAAATTTCCCCTAAACACAGCTGTGTAGCTGCAGGAGACCTGGGGCCAGAGGGAAGGAGGCTGGCCCTCATGTCAGTCCAGGTTTGCGGGGTAGGGGATGAGAACTGCAGACCCTGAACTAGAGGCAGCTGCGGTTTTTGGTGCTGCAAGAGACATCCATGCCAAATCTGCGAGAGAGCCTAATTACCCCAGACCAGCCTCTCAGCACCTCCCAGACCCTCTCCTCTGATACAATCTGTCCCAGAGGTTGACCCATTTTGCTCTCTGAGCAATGATGTTTTTCTTGCACCTCTGTTGTCCTGTCTCTCTGAACTGTCCCACAGAAGTTACCAGCTGAAACTCCAGCTGTGAGCCCCTCCTCAGTTTGTTGTTCCACTGAAGGACAAACAGACCCTCTTTCCTTATGAGTCCATAACAAGTTGAGGCTGCTGAACAATTAGGTCAAATTGGACAGTGCAGCGATAGCTAAGGCTGCAGCTGGTGGCTTTACAGGAAATTGGCACTATTGCTCCTATAGCATACATCTTCACAGCTCTAGAACTATTTCAGCACATCCAAAGGTGGAGAAAGGTGACAGCAGTCTCAAGGGTTTGGGGGGTAAAGGTGGGACAGGGATGCAGCATTTATAGGTGGAAAATGCTTTTTTCAAGAACTTTTCCAATGCTGAGAATATCTTTGAGTGTCATGGGAAAGACGTTGGCTTGTCCAACATCAGTCTTCCTGTTCCCTGGAGCCCTGGAGAGAGAAAAGTCCCTTCTCCAGCAGCAGCACACTTTCTGCAGGGGCAGCGTGTGGAGCTGTGAGGGAAGGACTCTCCCATCCTCACCTTTCCCAAGCCTAGCCCCGCTGCCCCCTGAATCACAGCCTTGGATACTCCAGAGCAGTTTAATTAAAGAGAAAAATGTTATTCAAGAGATAGTAAAAGTGAGCAGAAGTAGCCTTTTCACTTCCCCTAATTAGCATACAGATTGCAGGGAGGGCTGAACCGGGTTCCACAGGCATAAACTGTGCAAAGATATCATCTGAGCTCAGGGAGAAAATTTCCATGCAAAACCCATGACTCCTCTCTCAAAGCATCACTGCAGAATGGGCTGCTCTATCACATGAACCTCCAGAACCATCCAGTTAGATGTTTCCTAACCTGTGCCCATCTGACTTGCTCTTGGTGCCTCCCATCAAAATATTGGAGGAGAAGACTGGAGGATCTGCTAAAAATCATCTCAGGTTCAAGAAAACCTTAATTCCCTTCTCTTTAACCATTTCTCACCCTGCCCCTCTTTGGTTTTGAGGACGTATTTTATTGTCCCTTGTTTAATTTGGATAAACTCCAGCAACAGCACAGGGGACAGGAATTTGGAAGCCCTGGGAAAAATTACAGTGGAACCACTCAGCTCCTGGTGAAAGTTCATGGCACCTGGGAAAAGATGGGCCTGTGGGGCATGGTCTGCAGAGAAAGGAAGCTCAAAGTATGGAGGGGGGGTGTGTGAAGCAAATCCCAGACCATTATTTCAAGGTGTTTTTAGGGAGCAAGAACAAAAGAGAAGTTATTGCTGTATTTGACATGTAATTGGTATTCCTCCTTTTCTTTTACAAAGCTAGATTTTTATTCACCAGGAAAAGTTAGTGACAGTCAATTATTCCCTTACGTTTTCATTTTATTGTTATGAGAAATTTTAACTTTTAACCATGTAATGATCTTATTGCAGTGTTACTGCAAGAGAAATGGAGAACAAAGACACCAAAGGGAAGGTGAATGAACTGTTTTTGGGGATGAATTTCCCCAGCAGTTGTTTGATCACTGTGAGAATTGTTCCAGGGAAGAGGCAGAAATCTCCTCCTAGGGAATACCAGGCCTTGGCTACCTTGGATACCAGCACTATCTCATCCTCCCCTCCTCTGTAACAAGGGCCTGAAAAAGATGGATTTGACACCAGGAGTAGGAAAAGGGAAATATGTAGGATGAGGTTGATGGTGGCTTTCTGACCACTGACAGCATCTGCTATTTTCCAAAGACCAATAATTTCTTGAGATGCCCAAGAGCCTGAAGTTGTTACTAGAGTTCAATTTTTTAGGATTCCAGATTAGAGAGTGCTGTTTTAAGAAAGAGTACCCACTGGGGAGCTGGATTCACCCCTGAGCTTTTACTCCTCCTGGTTTTGGCAGGAACTAGCTTGTTGAAGGAGCGAATCAGGGAGTGCCTTAGGGCACATGAGGCACAGGAGAAATGGATCCAGGCATGTCCCTGTCTCCTGTCACACCTGCAGATGTAGAACAACTCACGTGTGCTGCGAACTCACCTCCACCGTTCTTGTAGCAGAGGTAGGGGAACCTCCACACGTTTCCCAGGCCGATGATCTCCCCAGCCACAGACAGCACAAACTCCATTTTGTTCCTCCACTGGCCTCTCTCTTCCATTTCCTCTATTTTTATCTCTTCAGGAGATGTGGTGGCCCCATTGGGCTCTCCATCCTTGGACATGGCTCTTGTCATGGCTCTGTGGGACAGAAGAGGAGAGCATGGGATGGAGGGAGCTGCTGCAGGACACACTTGTGGCAAGAGGAGTGAGGGGAACAGACACCACAATAAGATGTGCTCCCAGTATCCCAGTATGTAAATTGAGGCACATCTAACTGGTGGCATTGCTGAGCAGAAGCTGGCCTTTCTAGAAGTGATTTGCTTTAGCAAGGGATACACATTCCCTTGTTGAGATTAGGAAATTACACTGGAAAACAAGTCTCTGTGAAGCAGCAGCATCTCTGCTTCCATTCCAGCTGGGACTGCAAAGAAATCAGGGTTTTGTTCCTTTGTAGCAACTCACAAATTCATTTTGCTGGTGGTTTGGTAAGTTTTTTAATAGCACATTTCTCATTCCTTCTGTGCCACCTAAAGGAACATCCCCATCTTCAGGGAGCAAGAGAGACAGCAATCTGCATCACCCACAACACCCAGCATTTCCTCTGCCCTGGGTCTGCTCTGGACTATTTATACCTGCTCTCTCCCTTGGCTCTGGAGGCAGCTCAGGCCAAGGGCCTCTCCCAGCCAGCGGCTCAGAGGTGAGCAACACCACGTCACCTTTCGATGTCCTTCACCTGTAGGAGCACCAAACCTTCTGTGGACCCTTTGCACCAGGATGGGGCACCAGGACCGTGATGGCAAACTCTTCCCTCCCTCCTTGTGCCTGGCATCTCTCCAGTCACATCCCTCTGGACAAGCCCTAGGTCTGAGCCATCCCATGACTACAGGAGCAGGGACTCCTGGAGCCCTGAGTAGGGACTACCAGGGAACCTGACCTAACTGGAAATAAGAGGGAGTGTAGACCCTGACACCTGGCTGTCCCAGCAGCCAAGGAACACTGTGGCACTTGTTTCGGTGTCATTTCAATAAGGCAAGGAGGAAGCTGGAGCAGGAGCTGATGGCCATGCTTGCACTTACCCACACAAGACAGCATCGTTATCAAAGTGTCTCATCTACTTCTGTGAAGGAAATTATTTCCTCAATGCTTACCCTCTGGATATATCAGGCCCTGGGGCAAAGAAAGATGCTTGTGTGTGGAAAGACAACTTCTAATGAATGCTCACAGCAGAACAAGTAGTTCTTTGACACAGGCATGTTTCCTGCCTGTTATTCAAGTAAAGAAAGGAAATCAGATCTCAGTGTAATACACCAATTGCTCTCTAAGTGCCCTAGGCAACAACAGCCTTCGTTCCCCCATCTGCTCTCCTGAAGGGCTCATCCTATTTGCTTTGCTATCAGCAGCAGATTTCCATGGACTGAGTCTCATCTGAGACATCAACCAATGTAAGAGGGACTGCACCAAGGCCAGGGGGACATAAACCATGGAGGAGAGCAGTCAGGGGCTGCTGGAGGTCATCCTCCAGGCTATTACAGCTTCCTCTTCAAAAACACGGCAGAAAGATCCTGGTCCCTGTTAAATTTAAGAGGTTTTTAGAAGTATTGCCAGTAAAAGCCTTTATCTGGGCAGCACTGCAGTGGGCATGACCAGTTTTGGTGCCAAATGCAGATGCACGAGGGCACTGAGGAAGCAACCTCTGTTTTCTCTCCAGCCCTTGCTCTTCTTGGTCCACATGCTGGAAAGCACCTCTGTTACTGGTATGGCTTGCACTGACCCAAAACACCAAGGGCTTCGGCACCTGTGGATCTACTTGAGAGCATGAAGATGAACCAGCCCTCTCACAGGCTCCTACAAACCTCTAGCCCCACATTTAGAGAAGGTGGTGGAACCCAGGAATCAAGGCACACACCCTAAATGCTGGCTTGCAGCTGCAGCTCCCCTGCAGTCCTTCCAGTCCCAGATTTGTCCCCTTCACTTTGCCCTCCTGCTGGCCTGGACTGGGAGGTGGAATCATCAGGTCCTCCTGCCAGCCAAATTTCCTGCCAGCCATTTCTCAGCTTCTGAAGCCCAGGCAAGGCCCTTTTCCCCGCTGCCTGCCTGCAGCAAGGCCTGCCAGCTGGCTAATCAGCTCACTGCCATGCTGCAGCACAGCCTCCTCATCTCTGAGAGCAGCAGAGCTCCACGCACTGTCAGATGTGAGAGCAGAAGTAACACGTCCTTAATGAAACGTGTTTGATCTGTCACAGTCCTCGGCACTTTCCAGTTTGCTGCAGTCCAGGGCACGTTATCAAGTGCACTGATGTTTAAGTCTGGGTTTGTTGAGGATGTCCCAGGAAGCTGGCAGGAGAAGACTAGTTAATTCTTTGTTTTTATTCTTTTAATGTAAGGTGGATCCAAGAGTCAGCCTATTTCTACTAATATTTGTGTTTTTATTTCATTTTTGGTAGACCTGTTTCACAAATGGGTGCAGAGGAAGGTCACAGAGAATCACCATCTCTCACCTAGCCCTGGGAAGGGAATGTAGGAGCCCAAATCCTCCCCAGCCTCCACCTCAGGGACACCTGGACCAGGACTTTTTATCTGTCCTCTGACCCCTGAATGGGCCAACATGAGGGACAGAAGTTGAGATGCTGCAATGAGGAACACAGCTGGGAGAAACACAAAACAGCAAGGGAGAAACAGCACTTCTGCCTCCATGTTCCTATTTTAAAAAGGGAGAAAGCACCTGGCTATGAAATCAAACCTTTTCAAGTGGGAGCAGATGGTGGATTAAACCAGTGTCCCAAGTTCTGGCCCTTCATGGCATGAACTACAATTTCTCCTTTCCCTGACAAAGGCATGCACGTTACACATCCCCACTGCTTCCCTCTCTGCTTTGCCTGCTGTTTCCATGAGAAAGCCTCTTCATACACCTGGCTCTTTTCCTGAACATTTAATCCTACTGTGCCCCTGCTCTATGTGTTCCTAGGCCAGATGGGGACTCAAATAACTTCTTGTTTCCAGCTAGGAACAATTTGGTTCTCCCACAGCGGTCACAGCCACCTGCTGGGTTACATCCTCCCCAACAGGCAAGCATTTTCCTCTTCCTCTGGTTTCCCCCTCCCTAATACATGACTTTGGGGTAAAGACTGTGCCCTCACTGCTCACCCGCACCTTTTCTGCTGTTCCTTCACCAAAGTTTGGAAAAAAATTCCCATGGCTACTTCATTCCTCTTTTTTTCCTCTGCCATAAAGTTTTCACAACTGCTAAAATGCCATCTTGATGCAATCCAGAGTCTACCCCTCCCCTGGACCCTCTCCACCACCACCACCTTTCCTCCTCAGCCCCCTCTGACCCCACCAGTCTCTTCTAGAGGTGCTCTGCTGCATTTTCAGCCCTCAGCCCTTGGAGGAGATGTTTTTTTGCCCTTCACAGAAATGACCTGTAGTCTGTCACCTCCCCACAGAGAGCAGGGAGCTCCCTCTGTGCCACTCCACAGGAAATTGTAGTGTTTGCTACTGGGCTTGCTGCACGGAGATCACCGCAGTTTTTTCCCCCCAAGAAGATTTATAGCTGGGAAAACAAGAACACACCTGGATTCCTGCAGGACCTGGAAAGAGAACAGGCAGCCACAGACCCAGAGCAACAAGCTCCATTCTTAAACATTTGAATGAGGCAACACAGTCTCCCCTTGGCCACAAATTTGGGACTGTGTTTGTCCCACACCTACCACCATGGGATCCTTCAAGTGTGGTGACAAAGGGCAAGGAAAACCAAGGACATCCCTGAAGCACTGTGGTCACTCAGCAGCTGCCTATGATGTCCTGAACAATGCAGATATGCAGCAGAACAGCATTTTTTGGCTTTGTTTGGAAGCAAGATGTAACTGAAGGGCAGAGGCAGTAATAAGAAAAAGAGGAGAAAGAAAGCATCATTTGATGCAAAATACGGCGCTACCCTCAGGCTCTCTCAGGGTAAAAAGGGCTTTTTCACAGTTGCTCAGGTGAGGCAAGGAACAAGAGTGAGACAAGAAAGATGAGTGAGAAGCCACCTGGAGTTTTGGCACCAAAGGAAGAAGCCAGTAGTGATTCTCTGAAGCTTTTCTCCCTGCAAACTTACTGCCTGTTCCCGACTGCTGTCAGACAGGAGTTCCTGCTGCTGGGAAGTTAACATCCTCCGTTTGACCTTCCTTGCTGTTTTATGAGATAGGACAATCTCCAGAGGGAACGGTGAAACACAGGGAACAGCAGACAGAAATGTCTCTTAAAAGCAGCTGATAACATCTCTGAGAGGAAGCACAGTGTAAAAGCTCCCTTGGACACTGGAAGGTGCTGCCTGGACTGCAGAATGCAGAGTCACAGGAGACAGAGCTGGGATTCAGACACAACGCAGACAGCTGCACTGCATTTCTATTTCTTGGTTTCATTTTGAAACAAGCAGCAACCAAGCACATAAACTGCAATTCAAGATGGGGAGGGAGGAATCAGAAAGCAAGAAGACTGGGCTGTGTTACAAAAGGAGGAGCAGGAGGACACAGAAAATTCCCTGGTTGCACAATCAGAGCCAGCAGTCAGTCAGCAGCTGAAATCCTGCGCTGCATTTTGATGGCAGCAGGCGGAGGCGGCTGTGGGAGAGAGACAGAAAATCAGGGCTCAGCGAGGAGCAGCAGTGCCAAGGTCCAGCTTAAGGAACCAGCCCGGTTAAATTAGAGCAGGGGGGCTGCTGCTGGAGCCGGTCATCTCGGCAAGATGGACAAGAAAATATTGGCAGGGGAAGCAAGTGCTTCCCAGCCAATCTAAGAGCAGTTTCATGAGCAGAGACAGCTGCTTGCAAATGGGAATGCTGCTGGAAAACGGCTTGCTCCAGCTGCAGAACAGAGAAAGGCAAGGAAAGATGGAGAAGGAGAAGCACTGATCAACTCTAGGACAGCAGTCGAAATTAAAATGCCTCTCATTTCAAGCAATTGAAAGTTAGTTGGCTTCTTTACGCTTTCTAATTAACTTCCAGGTTCTGTGGGCTGCAGGGTATTCTCAAAGCATCTGTTCAGCAAGGTTCATGAGGCACAGGAGGCTCTTACAAGAATCAGATCCTACCTGTGTTTTCTCCAGTGTGAAATAAGAGCGATGCTTGTGCAGTCAGTGAGTTTGTTACTTACTGACACCAGAAAGAGTGAGATAAGGAACTCAGTGAGTTCCTTATGAGTGAGTTCACTGATGGCACAGACGTCTTCAATACAAGATGCAAGGATTATAGAGCATCACCCTTCAGAGCACACACTCCCAGTGCAGGAGGGTGCCAAATGCATCCTGCTCCGTCTTCTGCTGCTGGGTAGGAGACCCTCCAAAGCCCCTAAGAGTGACTGGACTTTCCTGAGGATCAGTGGCAAATCTCTTGCTAAAAGCAATGTAGGCTGCTGTTCCCAGGGCCAGATCAGTCTCTGTTGGTGTCCATGGACCACCATCCCTGTTCTGGGCTACAGAGACACACGGGTGGTATCTTTCTCTAGAGAAAAACAAGACTAACTGATGAAGTCCATAAATGGTGTCTAAATATGACTAGAAACCAGTCTTTGCATCAAACCAGGTAATCTGGACCTCCACTCAGCCCATAGCCTGGCTGTATCCAGTGCAACACAGCAGGAGAGCCAGCCACAGCAGCATCCATTCTCCTTCCAGAGCACCAGCAGCAGGCCTGCTACAGACACAGATCCAGCCAGGCACCAGAGGAGCCCCGAGAGCTCCCAGTGCTGGAGCTGAATGGCCAAAGTCCTGGAGCTGCAGAAGCCTGGCTCAGAGGTCCTTGTGTGCAGCCAAAGCGTGTGGCCAGCACAGCTCCTGGCACTGGCTGCAGGAGCAGAGCAGGTGAATGGCACAGAGGGTGAAAGCCACGCTGCTCCGGCACCCACTCTGCAAACAGGTCCTGCACAGTGGGGCAGCGACCTGTGGGGCAGCCCAGAGTGTTCCTGCTCAGCCCTGCACAAACCCAGCACCCGTGTCACACCCTGCATGGGCCCAGCACCCCGTGTCACACCCTGCACACCCAGCACCCCGTGTCACACCCTGCACAGACACAGCACCCCGTGTCACACCCTGCACAGACACAGCACCCCGTGTCACACCCTGCATGGGCCCAGCACCCCGTGTCACACCCTGCACACCCAGCACCCCGTGTCACACCCTGCACACCCAGCACCCTGTGTCACACCCTGCACGGGCTCAGCCAGCTCCAGCCAGGGCTCAGCACGGGTCCCATCGGGTGAAACCAGCACAGGCAGACACCATGAGTGCACGAGTGTCTCCCAGCAGTTCCTGCCATAATGCCACATGGTAACGTGGTGGGATTGCATCCCACCTGCAGCCTGGGAGAGGCCAGGTACCTGCAGTCCAGCCTGGGGCACCAAAACCTTCCTGCAGCCCTGCCCAGGAGCGGTGGGGCAGAGATACAGCACAGGGCTCTTCAGCCTCTGCAAGGACCACGTCGCAACCGTGAATCCAGAAAAGCTGGGCTGTGCAGAGGTCAGGTCCGAGGTTCAGCCTCTTGTATCAGCAGCTGTCAAAGAGTTAAAACTAGGGCAATGGCATTTCCACTGGCATGAGATGAAAGCCCTGATTGGTAGTGATTATTTTAAAAGCAATGTTGATTTAAGAAGACACAGATCAGGTGTTATGAAACCCTCATGTGTTCTGCCTGCATTTGTTCACAAATATGGCCACAGATGAGTTTAGCACATGCAGAAACTGTGCTGTCTCCCTGCCTCACCTCCTAAAGGAACAAATTTGATGAAACCTCAGGGGCAAGAAGAACAGAAAGTGCACTCCCAGGCACATCTTTTAACACTGTAGCCCCCAAGTCAATGCACTGGGGTCACTCCTCTGCAGGAGGAGAGGACTCTTGCTGGCAGTAGCTGAAATGCCTACAGCCTGTTCCACTCCTTGGTTGCTGTACCTATTATCAACCAGTCATCTCTGCCCTTCATCCCTGTCCCTGTCCTGCTCATTGTTGTCTCTCTTCTCAATCTTTCTGCTGCCTGAGTACTTATCTATACTTATCTATCGCTCTCTCCTTTCTCTCTGCTGCCACAACCTTCAGTACCAATTACCGATCCTTCAGGCACCTCTTTGCTCTCAGCTTCCTCTGCAGCATCTCAGCCTGTCCTTTCTTTTCCAGAGGAACCATTGAAAGAAAAACCTCTTCCCTGGGTTGTTCCAAACTGATTATTTGCTCCTTATTTTCCATCTCGCTCTTGCATTTCTTAGCGCCGGGGAGCTGTTGCCCCTGCAGATGTGCTGGCCCGCTCTGCAGAGCACAGCTGGCTGCGGGAGGAGCGGAGTCAGCGGCACTCCCAGGGTGACACACACACCCAGCCACATCTGCTCAACTCACAAACACCCAACTCACCTGAAGCCAGAGCAGGTCTCCCCCAGGCAAGCCCCTCCCGTCCTATCCTTCCCCGTCCCACTGGAGTCCAGGCAGGGAATCCACTGAGTGCCAAAGAGATACAGCAAGAGTTAAGGCAGGGACATCCCTCTCTCCTCCTCCTGTCCCACCCCTTCCAGCAGCTCCCCCCACCAAATTATCACCCAGCTCATGTGTGGGTGGTGGGACGGAGGCAAGGGAGGTGCATCAGGGCAGAACTTTCTCCCCTGTTCCCTTACAACATGCACCTCTCCAGACCTTGAACTGTGGCCCTGACAAGAAAGCAAGATGAGAAAGCAGCCACAGGCGGGCAGGGTAAAGGCCCAGAGTTTGTAAATATCAACTGCAGCAGTCAGGGAGTAACTCCATGTCCTCTTGACCTCTGCAGGGCAGGAACTCTCCCCTTGCAGACCCCACAGCATGGCCCAGGCTGGCTGCCACATATTCCCACTGTTCTGGGGCTCCACCACTTCAGTGGGATAGGGACATCCCTCAGTGTCATCCTACAAACATGCAGAATGAATCTCCATGGAGCATCACATCAAACCTTCTGTGGCCAAGCTCAAGTCTCACCAACACCAGCAGGTAGGCGGAGGAAGAGGCAGAGTGTGGGTGAAGAAGGAACATTGGCTCTGGGGTTACACAGCTGCCTCTGTGGCTCTGCTCTGACAGCTTTCTGTGTATCCATCTCAGCCTTGAAGGGCTTTTCCAGAGCTTCTCATGACCAGCACCAGAAGCAGGCATTCCAGTTACACTATTTTTCCCCAAGATACTTCAGCTCAGTTTTTAATTCTATCACTCTTTTGTCTTTTGCTTTGTCTGATAATGTGCCTGCCAAATGCCTATCTGGCATCCACATCAGCTGGGACAGGCTCCATCTTCTGCCTTTTAGGGAACTGTTTCCAAAGTCCTGAGAGACTGCAAGGTGCCGAGCAGGTGCTGGCTCTGCGTTGCCTCTGACCCTGCTGGTGGAGGACAGTGCCACTGCCTGTGCTGTCACGGAGCTCTGGTGTGACCCAGCACAACCGAGGAAAAGGTGCAATAGAGGTTATCCAGATATGAAAAGGGGATTGAGATAAGCCTAGGTAAGCAGAGCTGACCTAAAAACTTGATTTATCCGTACTGAAGTGTTTCACAGGAACATCGCAGGGGTTTTGCAAAGCTGTAGATGGGAAATGACCTGTGACATTAAGGTAAAACAGGAAGAAAGTCAACCTAAATTAAAACTTTATTCAGCAAGGTGTGAAAATCATTCTCCAGGATGGGAAAAAAGGCTATTTCTGTTTGCCAGCCCAGAGGGTATCAGAAGTTACACTCAGGCTTCAGAGTTTCCCACCAGGCTGTAATTCACAGGGTTTTTTAATCCTGCTATGGGCAGGCTCACATTTATATCACTACACCCGCTTCCATGGGAGGATTTCACTGGTGTGATGACCCAGATTGAAAAGCAAAAATCCCATTCTGAGCAGCTCAGCTGGTGGAGCAGGCACTGTGCTCAGTCCCACCCCAGAAGAGAGCAAGGCAAGGGTGATGCAGTCCCCGACCACCAGCTGCCACCTCTGCTGGCAGAGTCAGCCCCGGGCAGGCACTCTGTGCAGGCAGGACAGGGCTGCCAAAGGATGTGACAATCTGACTACAGGGCACCCCACCATGTGGGCTTCTCCTCCACAAGTGTGGGTGAGGGTGCTGTTAAACACTCATCCTCGAAAGAGAAGCACTGCTTGCAATAAATCCTGGAAATGTCAGAAGCACCCCTCTCCCCAGGCAGCATGAGCCCCTCCCAGCCCTGGAACCCCCTGTTGTGAGCAGCTCACACACCAGCAGCCCTCAGATCTCCACAGCTCCCCACGCTACATCCTGAGGAATCTCTGCACCCAAGGGTGCATGGCAGAACTGGGAAAGCACTGCTGTCCAACCACACAGGTGCCCACTCCCTCTGCACTCCCAGCTCAGAGCCAGCTGCACAGGTTTCCATCCCCTCTCCTGAGCAGAGGAGGAAAACTTTCTTTGAAAGGACCACATTCCCTCCAACTGCCAGGCTCAGGGCAGCTGGAGACCAGGACTCAGCCTTTGCCCCAAAGGATGGCTGACCCCAACCTCAGATCTGTCCTGCATCTCCTCCCAAGCATCCTCCTCCCCACCCTGCTCAGCACCTGCCAGCTGGCAGTGCCCTCTTGCCTCTCCTTTTACCATTGCTTTTCTCAGAAGACATGTGGGCTTTTCCCATCACCTGGGTGTCCCCACCCTTTGCTCCCTTGCAGCCAGCTCTGACATGCCTGCTGCAGAGCCAGCCCAGGGGAGCAGCTGCCAAGCTCAGCCCACGCCAGGGCCAGTGAGTGACTCCCTGGCAGCAGCGAGCCCCTGAGCCACTCAGACACAAAGCTGCAAGCCAAAGTGAGTCAAATCTCCCCCAGCCCAGATTTTGGGAGAGGTCTGTCAGGCTGGCACCCTGTGTGTGAATCCCAGCTGTGCTTTACAAACAGCAGAGCCCACAGAGGCAGTCTCTGGGACGCTTGTTGGACATGGTGGGGCTGGCAGCCCTGGCTGCCCCCCTCGCTGAGCCACCTGTGGCAGAAACACCATCTTCTAACCCTTTGGCCAACAAAACAGGAGAAATGCTGATTGCCCTGTGGGCACAAGGCTGCTGCTGCTTCAGCTGAGAGCGTGCCTCGCTGACTGAACACTGTGTCTGCAGGGGGTTTTCCCCTAGGCTTTGGTATAATTTATTTTTCATGTTTATGGCTAATTTCTGCTTGAGTAAGCCTGTGACTTCTGACAACAGTTTCACTGTAACTAATCACAAGTGAACATAACCAAAGCAACAAGAGCTAATGAGGCCCCACAGACCCTGACGGGCTCCAGCAGCCACAGCACCGCTCCCGTGCTGGGCTCCCAGGGAGGAGGAGGATGCCAGGAGCCTTCATCTGTGAAAGTCCAGGCAGGGTGAGACATCCCCTGTTCCACAGCATCCCTGGTATGGGAGAGGATGAGGCAAGGGCAGATGGCTTAGGAGCCCAGAGTCAGCAATCAAGGTGCTCAGGAGGGAGGAGTGGCAAGGCTGGGGAGACATCCTTAGTCCTGCAGCCTCTGAGCTGCACAGCAGAGCTCGCTGGTGATCAGAGACCAGGAGGATCCCAGAACAAAGGCAGGCAGAGGACACACGGGTATGTGCCTGTGTGCTCCTGCTTTCCCTCCCAGCTCCCTCAGGGCAGCTGAGCCTGCTGCTGTGGGACATGTGACAGCAAACACCTCCGCTGCACAGGGCACAGGGACACAGAGGACAGGGGCAGATGGAGACACAGAGAGGCTGTGCTGCTGCTGCTGCCCAAGGTGCTGCAACCCTGGGCAGCTCAGATGGAGACTGGGGGAACAAAACCACTGGAAACTTCTTGGGACTCACAGCTTCTCCAGTGTGCCTTTGTGCTGCCCCACGCACGCTTCCCTGGGCTGGGCCGTGCAGATCTCCCTCCTGCAGGCTGCTCACCACTCTGCACACAAGGACTCAGCACCCTGCCCTGTGCCACCTGCTCATCTGCACCTGCCTGTAGGACACAACTAACAGATCATCTGGGGATCTCTGCTTCACAGGATTATGTGTCCCACGAGTTAACACGCTCATCTCGCTGTTCTCTCCATTTACGCACCGTGGCATCCAGCACATCCACTCTTCTTGTCACCAAAATGTGCAACACGACTCACAATACATCACTCTGCAACAGCCATGGAAAACTGCCCTGTAGTTACCACTAAAGGCAACAGGAAAAAGACCTCTCAGGAATCTGTTCAAAATGCCAGGATTTGGGATGCTCTCCATGACAGGAGATGTATCCTATCCATGGGCCCATCCCTGAGATCTGAAGTCTCTCCCCTGCCCTATGTGAGCATCTCCATCCATGGACAAGGAAAGCTGAGATTTCTCCCCAGGCACCACTGACACAAAAAGGGAAAAGCAGAGCCTGGTTTTCATGGATGGATGGAAAACAACCAAAAACCAAAAACACGAAACCAAAAAAACCCAAATCAAAACCAAACAAACAA